CCCACCCCGGCTGGGCAGCGCCTGCCCCTGCCCCACTCCCTCTAGCTGCCTTTTCTAGCACCATTATGCTTAAAAAATAAAATGCACAAACAACAAGCAGTGACAGCAGCCGACTCCTCAATTGTCCAGGATGAATTACTGTAGCATGCTAAAGAAAGGTGCATGTAAGTAGCTGGATATGGTACAGTGTCCAGAGTCCAGCATAATATATTCCTTTCTGAGCATTTCCATTCCCCTATCCAAAAATACATGCATTAGAACGTAGTAAAACCTTTTAGAAACTTCTCTTAGCCAACTGCAGACTTATCTGTTGCCACGTAAGTGCAAAGAAAGGGGTAGGATGTGAACCTGTGTAATAAAAGCGCTTTTTCGCAACTTTGTTTGGTGACAGAACACAAAAGGAAGAATTCCTACGTATACACATCAGATCTGTCTCCACCTTTATAAAACGAATAAAATGGGAAAGTGCCATCTTTATATTTCCTAATTGAAATTTTAATGTCTTTGACACAAAAAGGTATATACATAACATAGCTACGTAACCTTTTCAATTGGACAAGTGTCAAACCCTGTAGATTTATAGGTCAAAACAAGATTGGTCAGGAAAGAATTGTTCCTATAACTGGTAATCTGACACAATGTCCTATTGCCATTCAAAAAGGTCCTTTTCAGTTTATTCAAGTTTGTCTCTGTGGTATTTTTTCCCAGATAAAAAAAATATTCAGACTTTTGTAATCTGTGTATGTTGATCTTCATCAAAAGGTTCATTCTCTGGATCAGAGTCAGTGGTGTCAGAATATCTATAATGATCAGGTTCATTGTCACTAACGTCCGGTGTTACTGAAGTTGAACTGCTAGCCTCTGGATTTGATGGCTCTTCTACTGTTTTTGTGAAAAATAGCTTCACCTAGAAAAGGACCAGAACACAAAGTTAAGGAAACTTTTTTTTTTTTAAATTTACAGACATGAGCTAAAGCTGTACCCCAAAGGCTTTGCCGCCATAGCTATACTAGCCCACACACCAGCCAAATGGTCTGACAGTGAACAGATTCCATACTAATAAAAATGCATTCTTGCCAGTAAAGTTTATTATGCTACCATCCCTCCTAAGTATTAAGCTATCCTGGCAGAGAACATAGTTTTTGCTAGAAATGGTTTTACAGATTCACCGAAGTTAACGGCTGGAAGGGAACTCATGAGACCATTGAGTCCAGCCCTCCTGCTCTGGAATGAAACACTGCTGGGGTTAAATAACCCCAGCAAGTTCAGCACAAGGGGTTTCATATTCCCACATTATGGGAATATGAAACAACACAGCTGTTAAGATTTTCAACTGCAATGACCATTGTTTCTAACAGCTACCACAGCAGTAAGCTATAGATTTTGTAATAAACTGAGTGTACAGAAAAAGACAGTAGATGGAATTGTATTTGATGAATCAAAGGAGCAATCTTTTGGCCACCAGCAATCTTTTGCTAAAATCAAGTCTACGCCAAACTTTCTGATACAATGTTACCTGTGACTTTCATTATTTTTCACACTCCATTTAATATTAATTTGCAGTATTTGTACAGACATGAAAGGTGTTTTATAAGCAACACAGAGATGCTAAAATGTCCAGAGAATTGTTTATTTCCCCTGGTATAAACAAGGGATTCAATTTCATGAACAGAACCAAGTCGATGAACAACAAGTAAAGAATCCCACTCGTTCACCCTGGCACATCAACTCAGGAGCTAAGCTGGTAGTACCAGTTCAGTGATACCTCACAGGGTTGAGGTACTAGCAACACTGAAGACAGTGCAGTTATCAGGTTTTCTACTCTACTCCAAAATGGCTCTTTCAGTTTGAAGGGATGAGCACGTTTATCCTAAATATATCATTCTGAAAGATTTTTTTCAGCATATGAAAAGCTGCAACTATTTTAACTTACCTTTACTGTAATTATTCTAATATCAGTTACTAGTAAGAAACAAAAAAACTTCAAACACTGGAACTTTTGTTAAACAAGGACACATCCACATGGAATTATCCTGTCTCAGTTTAAAAGGGTATCTATCTAACAAGCTATTCCTAGATAATGTAGTACATTGCAAGCTCTTCAAGCTCTATTTTGTTTTTTGAAATATACTGACCTTGAAATTTGGAGAGAAATATCTGTTGGCTTTGTCTTTATTTGCCTTGTCTAGATCATTTTTTGTTAATGTAAGGATTAGATATTCCTTATCATTATCTGAGCGCTCTGTACTGAAAATACCATCAAGTTCCTGATCTCCAACTAGACTTCCATTTTCTACTTTGTCCAAATTTTCATCCAGTCCTATGAAGAATGTATTTACCCAGAAGTGAAACATTTTGTCCTGGTGGGCAGAATGGGGGGGAGGAAGAAAAAAAAAGCTTGTATTAATATTTATCAGTGGCATAACTGTCATGTGAAAATCTATTTACTTGTTTTTGGGGAAAATGGCTTAAACAATACCAAGATGACATCCCATAATAGTCTACTCACTGTTTTAGTTTTACACAATGCAGATGAATCTGCATTAACCATATGGCTTTTCCTCAGTTAAATATTTTTACAGAAGTCATTTTCATTTCTTCCTGAAAGTCTTTTGTAAATCAAAAGTCTAGATCTACAAAGTTGATTAAAACTGAATGCAAGCAGCAAGAAGCGCCAAGCTAACATTTACCTGGAAAAAAAGAGTCATTTAATTCTATATACGCAGCGAAATAAGTAGCTTCTTTCTGAAAGCTGATGAGTATACAGGCCTACTTTGATCAGTAGCACTGCTAATCCACAAAGGGCTCTGTTTTGTAATTAGTATTAGTTTTCTAGGCAACAAAATGCTCTGTTTCCCTTTACTTTTTATATGAAAATACGTGTGGTGGTAAACAAACATCCTTCAATAATAAAATCATCAACAAAATTAGTTTTCCTTATGTAAATCATTTCACTAGTCAAGTGCTTTCTGATGCATGTGATGAGTAGGAAGCCAGGTATTTGCAGAGCTTGTGTACAAAAAAGGAAAACTAATAATTTATAACATTTACTTAGATATCCAAATTTACTGACATTTCTACTGCTCCAACCAAGGTTGCGACACTTTCTTACATATACTGAGTACCTGACAGTTACCTGCAAACCTCCCCCCCGCCTGCATCTTATATTGTACCATAGAACTGCTGCATAAAAATGTAATCTAAATACTTAAACCAGGTCTCAGATTTGTAAATTACCATTCATGTTAAATCAGTGAGATTACATACCCTGTTGCTGGAGGTGTTATAGTGCACTCACAGGTGCTTATTTCACATGCACCTTTTAGCAGGCAGTAACAAAAACTGTCCATGACCAAATTTAGTCTCTGAAGAAAATTAGAAGTCCCCTATGCACATATTTATGTGGTATATGCTAAAAACTCCTGCATCTTTTTCCATATGTGGTTTTCTACATTCTGGACAACCAAGACCAGACCAGACCACAACATATCAAGCATGTTTAGTGGGCTAGGTCCTGGCAATCTCAGACTGCTTCTCACCCTGAAATCCACCATGACAAATGCAAATTCATTTTCCTCTTGAATTTTCTACCATAAAGCCCAAAATGGATCTTCGCATATTCAGAATAAAATGTAAGCAAAAGGATAAAATGTACTCTTACTGAATAAATCTCACTAGAGTTTGGTTAATGCTCAGATAACAACATACATATGTACAAAATGCAAGTTATTTCATGGCTTTAGGGTTTCATTTCTGCAACCCTGGTTGCATTAACCTTTTTTGGCCATTTAACAATTGAAATCACTTTTATATGCATTTATTTAACTATCTTTTAGGCATGTGTGCAGACTGCTATCATTATTGAGAAGAAAAGGCTCAGCTTCTGTCAGAAAAGCAAACTGGTAGATCTTTAGCTGTCAGAACAGCTTTTATGGACAATTAGCTAGCTAATTTTCACTCTAACATGAACCTCTTTTAAAGAGGCTATTAACCATGCCACAACTAGATAGGAAAAAAAAGCTTCAAAAAAGTATCTTACTTACATATTAAAACAAGTATCTTCTATAATGCAAGCAATATTTCAACACTTCTGGAGATAAATTCTTTCAAGTTAGTGAAAATACTCTTTGAATACATCCAAGTTAAAGTCTAAAGCAAGCAAAACTACAATTTTGCTATGATTTTGGATTTCAAAACTGTATTTTGCTAGTTTTGACTTTTTTGACAATATTTTTCAAGAGTCTTAAATCTAGGCCTTGCAAGGTACAGCAGGGGGTGGAAACCTTTATGAAAGATGGGCTGCAGCTTGCGACCAAGCCACTGCTGCAAACTGCCTGTCCCCTGCTCCCAGGACCAGCACTTCCTTCTCTTGCTCGCTCCACCCCAGTCTCTGCTTATTGTCATCACCAAGCACTGTAGATTCTTGTTGCCAACAGCCATGCCAAGGGGCAAATTCAGCAACAAGGGCAGAGAGCACGTAGGTCTGGAGTTGGGCGGGGGCATATCAGGCAAGTGGTAGAGTGTGACACAGGAACATGCCCATATGAGAGTCATGCAGCAGAAAGTAGGATCTTTGGGGAGCTCCTTCTGTGATCCTTGCTGGCATATGCCACTGATCACCCCCTAGCCACCACATGCCAGATCTGGCCTGCAAGCCAGAGGTTGACAACCCCTGAGGAAGAGTGTGTGAACCAGATACCCTGCCAGCCTTCAAGTGTTTCTTATTTCCAGTTCTTAAATTATTCAGAAGGCACTCCTTTGAGAAGAGCAAAAACAGCTGAGCTGCTAGATGAAAAGGATAAAGACTGAAGGGAAAAACAAAACAAAAATAAAACAAAGACAGAACAGGTCAGAGAGACAGTTCCTTGCTACTCTCTGGGAGGGGCACTGATTAATTTAAAAAGTTATCTGGAGAATCTTAGTAGTGTCTGCATTGTACCATGGTAATCTAGGCAACCCACCAATTCTTCTGCAAGCTTCCCACTTTTTATGTTACTTTAATAGAGCATTCAGGGCTAAAACGCCATGCAAAAAATCTTCCAGTTAGCCAAAATAGGATACCCTAAAAAGGCCTGTTCACACAGGTGAAACGTTTGGCTTGTTACCTTAAAAGTAAATCACAGAGTGTGGAAAATCCAAAATGTAATTCTTTTTTTGGAGGCGAAAATCTAACAATGATCTTTTATAGAAGTATGGTGAGGAACGTGGTAACATTGCAAATAACTGCTAGAAGCTCCCCCGAGGCAGAAATCAGAGGCCTTGCCTCCAAGCAAGCGAGCTTTCACATGGTCTTTAGTTTCACGCTAAGAAGTTTTAAGTATTGCAATCTTCTTCCTCTATTCCCTTGCTTGTCTCCCTCTTGGTTTCTACAGTACCATCTGAGCACTTATTTTTATTTCCTTTCCAACCACAGCAATGCAAACAACTTGACTAGCTTTTTGAGATCATAGGTGCAAGGGCACGTGCATGTATTTACGACAAAACACAGACACTTAAAGAAAATGAAGAAGTTGACTAAATTTGTATTTCCTTCTTAAAAATACATCAATAGTTATTGCCAGTTATTATTACTGCTATCCCTTGCTGATGTGCATCTTAGTTTCGAACTCATATTAGGAGATCAGCCTCCTATATTAAGCTATTCAAAGTTCCCTTATTTCACAAGAGACCACACATGTAAAAACAAACTTTCTGATATGGAAAAGGTTGAGTATCGTGGAAGGTTTTGAACAGCATTTAGTTTTTAATAGGAAATCAATGCAGAGCAGATAACCTGAGGAAACATTTATAGCAATGCGTGTTAATGAACAGATAGGTCCTGAGTATTTAGTGACTGATTCTTCTTTTCTAGTGCCCCACTCCTTTTCTATTTTTATGGGCTGTAGTTTTCCAGCCTGGATGTCACAAGTGTTTATTACCTTTACCAGCTCTGCATCCGATGGCATGAGGTTCTGTCAGAATCTCTGAAGCAGATATGTTTATACCATGCTATTTTGGCATAAACAGAGAACAGCAAATTCTGTGGACTGATTTAATCATCCCAGACCTGATGAATTTGATAGTTTAGCGCACTAAAGAGGTAACAAATCTTTCACCATTACTTCAGTTAGTTTCTACTTTAGCCAGCTGCTGACTTTGGTAAGTACTGGATGCACTGAGGAGGTATCTATACTTACATAGTTATAAAAATTACTCTATTGCATGTCTACATACTGCTGGCAATTCAGTTTGTGTTCTTTAGTGAACTGTAGGAGGATTAAATAAGTGGAATATGACAGGACTTTATGGGACTTTAGTATTAGAAAGATCTGAAGGTAAACAAGCACTTGTGCTATTATCTGCAAGCAGCTGTTGGGGACTGCTTTAATAATTCTCTCCCATCTCTTGACTGAAGCTATAAACAAGCCTAATTCAACACATTCTCAGGTGTAGAATCTCCTACACAGGCTCAGCAATATTTTCCCATAGGAAGGCTGGAATGATCCGGCTCAAATGAGGACTGGGCAGGCATTAGGACCTAGCTGCCATCATTGCTTCTTCTTGCCTGCAGTGCGAATCAGGGAACCCTGCTCCAGCCAAAGCCACCTGATTATGGTGCAGCATGGGTAGAGCAGAGTTTTGAAAATGGCTGTGAAAAGGTTAACACTGGACTGCACCCCTTCTGCCAGTTAGCAGGGAGAGAGAAGCTGACAGTCAACTTGAAGCACAATATCTTCATGCTTCTATTCCAGTGAAGAAAATTAGTTTCCTCACTTAAGAGGTAACCCTTGATTATGGAGGGCTGATTGGCGGAGGAAAAGGAAGCTGCATGTGGTATGCAAATAGCTATAGCAGTTTGAGAAACTGGGATAGTTCTAGGGGTGCACCAATAGAGATTTTGGGGGCCGAAAGTGATAGCCAATTTTTAAAGAGGCATATTGGCTGATACCGATCTGATTTCCAATACATAGCCTGGCAGCTTGAAGAGCAGTGTTCAGCTGGTAAGTCTGTTGTGCTGGGAAGGGAGGGGGAAGGGAAAAGGCGCGGGGGAGGGGACAGATCGAGGCCCCTGCAGTAAGGGAGGGAGTGGGGGCTGGGGCAGGTGCTGCTCAGCTGGGGTGGGGCACTGGACCAAGCCATGGCTCATCTGGGGGGTGTGGGGAGGGAGGCCAGCTCTCACTGCTGCACACACTCCAGAAGGACATGGGGGGTGTACCCGTGGATCTGTGTGGGGTGGACTGCCACTGCAGCCTGGGACCGGGTGGGACCTGGGCTGGGCTTGGCAGTGGCACTGGGAGAGGGGTTTGGGGGGCTATGGCAAGTTTTGGGGTGGCTACAGCACCCCCAGCACTGCTGCCACTCACCCTGAGCACAGCCCAGCCCCCACCAGAAAGAGCCCAGTGCAGCCGCAACCCCACGTTCTCCCTCACCACAGAGGTCTTGATCTGTGCCCCCCAGCCCCTTCCCTGCCCCCTCCCCTTCCACCACAACAGACTTACCAGCTGCATGCAGCTCTCTAAGCTGCTCGTTTGCACTCCTCACCGCCTACATGCTGTGCTGCCGCAGTGTGCAGGCATGGAACATTAATTGGCCACAACAAGCAAAATAAAGCCGATTGCCGATACACTCAATTTTCTTTATATCAGTGCTGATGAAATATTGGGCCTATGTATTGGTGCACCTCTAGACAGTTCTCTGAGCCCTATATTTTCATACGGAAGAATTAAGACACCTGGTTTAACAGGTTTAGGAATAATGTTCAATTAAAAATCTGTTAACTCAAACATCAATAATAAATCAGTATGCAGGGCAAATGCAAGACTTGGAGGACCAGCATATAACTTAGTATTTGTTTGGAATAACATGCCTAAGTTATTCATAGCCTTGCCACTCCATTTACTTATCCAGCAATGACTAATAATAACCATTATACCACTCAAAAGATCCATGCATTCAATTATAAAATGACTGTTTGTCATATTAATCGTTTTTCATTTTATAAATGTGTATTTTTCCAGTATATGCAGTTGCCTCTCTCCTAATCTGCTCCCATGTTTTCTTGTCTTTCTGTTATATTAACTTAGATTCTAAGCTCCTCTAGGCAGAGGAAACTACCTCCACTATCATTAAATAACGTATATAAGATCACGCCACTATAAAACAATTATAATTATGAGGGGCAAACAAAGACTTTGTTATAAATGACATGCAAATATTTTAAGTCAGTGTTTCCCAACCAGTGCGCCGCAGCACACAAGTTTGCCATCAGAAATGAACAGCTGAGCCACAGAATTTTGCCATGGTGATGAGCTACAATAAGTATGAGGATGGGGAATGCCTTAGCAGGTGTGCTGTGGAAAACATTTATTAATGCAAGTGTGCCTTGGGCTGGAAAAGGTTGGCAAACACTGTTTTAAATTACTTAAAACACTTATCTTGTATCTCAACTTTCTAATCTCAGCTCCTCAAATTTCCCTTCCTTGTACAGGTCAAAAAGCCTTATTTTACCTGCGACTAAATGGAACACAAATTAAAGTCTCAGGTACCTGCCAGTATTTCAAAAAGGAGAAGTATCCATGTGGAGTAGTACCTAAAATTAGTCCAACACAAAAAAAGCATGATTTTATTTCTACTGTAAAAGTAAAAGGCAGACAATCCAGAATCAAGATTCAGAATTTTGGCAAAAAAGAGATCCAAGGATTCAATTTTTCATTGCCACTTTTCCAAAAATAACTCCTGAATTCAAGATCTGCAACAGAACCCTCCCCTTCTTAAGTCTGCTTGATAGTATTTTCTGTACTAAGAACAAACCTTTTTCAACATCTTGTTCTGTTTGTGGAAGAACTCCACCTTGATATCACCACACACCGGCAATGGTTGAGGGAATTCAAAGTACATATATTTGTCTTCACGTCTTGAGGGTCCTGAAGGGGAGGTGAATATCTTTACTTTTAGCTGGTACACCACAAACTGAGGATCTGCATGGTAAAACACAAAGAGGTATAATTTCCTCATTAGTATTATTATCTGTCAATACCTGACCAAGACAGTTAAATCAGAATAAACTAAAATTTGCCCCCACAAAGTTTTCTAACCAAAACTTCAAACTCAATGACAATGACATCAGGGACTGCTGATGGAAAAAAAAAAAATCTGTCCTGAGACAGTTTTTGCTGGTGAAGATTCAGGACCCCACAACAACTTAGCTTTCATATCTTGAATTGAAACTACAGAGAGAACAGTTAATTATTTTTACACTTTAAGAATATTTAATGTTAACATTATAAAAAAACAACTAATATGAATGTTGCAACAAGTTTTTAGACGTCCTTCTTTGAGGAAGTTTGCATCGTAGTATTTTAAAACATTTGTCTTATACAGTAACTTTTACCTGGTGCAGACAGAAGTACACACTTATAACTAATATGCAGGCTGCTATAATACTGACTAAAACAAAACAAAGTTAAAATATTCCATCACAAGGCCTGAATTTTGTCTGTGACTGTAAAAAAGACTAAAATGCCCAAACAACTCATGTTTATATGCATCCATAAAATCATCATTTTTTGCCATCTTTTGTTGGCAGACAGTTCCTTTCCCTCCTTTTCTTACTAACTAGACTAGTTTAGTTTTTACAGAAACCTGCTGTTGACTCCCCCTACCCCATGTCCAGGTTGCATGTTGCAACAACATCAGTTCAGATAACTCAGGAGGTTATGCTCGTTTCAAATTCCACTGTTAATTGCCCACTACTATAATGCCAGCGCTGAAATAGTGGAAAGCGACTTTCAAACATTAACAGAAAACAAATGCACAGTGCAATTACTACTCTGAAATTTAGTCTTTATGAGCACAAACAGGTGAATACAGGTTTTATATCAAATTCGTTTCAAGACAATTTGCTTACATATATCATAGTTACAGATGATAATCTCATTTATAGACTTTTTTTTTCCTATAAGCCTCTCCTTTAGAAAGAGGGCAGTAGGCATAAAATATCCAGAAGAAGTAACAATTTTAGTCTTGAGTTAGTTTCTCAGCCATGGGATCGTTCCATATGAAAACAAACATATATTTCATAGAAGCAAAACATTATTTTTCAACAGGAATTTTCAAAATATCCACATTCTAAAAAAATCCAAGGATTTAAGATTACCTAGGGCAGAAGATAGCTGGTATACCTCACATTAAATTTTTGAGTGGAAAATGTTTAAATCAAATAGCATCTATTTAAAAAAGGGATAAAGCAAGTTCTCAGCTATGCTACACAAACCTCTATTAACTAGCTTTAGAAGAATGAAAGTGCATGGATCTTGCCACGTTTAAACCCAACAGATTCTAGCAATCTGAAGTAGTTAAACATGACTCTCTATTACAGAAGGGTCGGAAGGAATATTAAGGAACGTCCAAGTCTAATCTCTAAACACATACACTGAAACATGTAGGAATAACGGCCACAAATTGTTAGAGAAGGTTCAGCTGGACATCAGGAGACATTACTTTACAGTTAGGGCTGCCAGGCTCTGGAATGGGCTCCCAAGTGAGGTGGTGCTCTCTTCTACCTTGGGGGTCTTCAAGAGGAGGCTGGACAGATATTTGGCTGGGGTGATATGATCCTGGAACCCGTTCCTGCCTGAGGCAAGGGGTTGGACCTGATGACCTGTTTAGGTCCCTTCCAACCCTAAGTACTATGATCTGACATCCTAAAATATGACAAGCTACTTTTACACTGTATTGGTATAAAATGTTTCTGTTCCAAAGATCCATGTAAAATAGTGTATAGAAATGAATACCTTGAATACTGAGTAAAAAAAAAAAAAGAAAAGATTAATAGTACTTACTGCAAGTTCCGCCACTGAACATTGGAATTGTTTCAAACATCATCTTGTGAAACAGCAGTGCCACTGGTCTGTAATCCAGGTGATTCTTTAACAAGTAGCTATAGTAATACACATAGCGTCTCTGACTGGGAATAGTTACTCCCTAAATAAAAGGGAAGCCCAAAACTTCAAAAATTAGTCAAAACCATTAATTAATACTTCACAGCAACTGGCTCCTGCCTATTACTTTAGAACTTAATTATCTCAACCAGACCAATATGAATGAAAAAAGGTGTCATGGGAGACAAAAATTAAACAGGGTATGTAGAAGTGACTGCAAAATAGTGCAGAAATGCCCAAGAAAGCTTTATACTAGCTAGCTTAGGTATTGGTAGCTGTGTAGTCACAGGAGAAAGGAACCTCAAGCACAGACCTGCTTTACAACAAAACATGCGAGACCACAGTAGACATGACCTTAATGACAATTTCTTTATTACTAGCCCCAAATCCTAGCAAGGTACCTAAAAAATATGTTAGCACAAAGCCAAAATCCAGCAGTGACAGTGAAAAATCATTTTCTTCTTTTCAAGCAGGCAGCCAGTTCACCTAGGCAAAGAGCAAAGCACTATACAAAGAAAATACTAACTTACACCATTCACTCAAAATATCCACACTTATTGTGGAAAAGGTTTTTCAAATCTTGCTCATTACTAGGTCTTGTGCATACTACCTATTGCCAGTTCCACAACTGGTAGGAGGTTAAAAAGCTTCAGAACATGAACTTTCTCATTCTGTATGCTAAACTGACATAAATAGTTAAGAGGCTTGATAGGTTGCACTGAAATCTGGTTTTCTAAAAAACACACAACTTTAGTCCCTTATTAGTAACAGAGTATTTATTGGCAAGACCTCTTGCACTTGCCATATTTTGTTTCTTTTTAGAGACCCACTACAGATATTAAGTTCTCACTACATTTTAAGCCGGTAGTATATTCTAACCACAGTTCCTAATAACACTTTCATTTGTCGTTCTGCAAAATTTTCCCATTATGAAACCCTTTTCAAAAAGTTTCATTAAGTTCAAAATGGAAAGAAGGTAGAATAGGCCACCTATCCCAAAATCCCTGTCAGTGCAGGACTGGTTAACTAAATTACATTTAAAAATACTGAACCAAACATTTGCTTAGAAAAACTAGAGAGTCAAGGAATAATGTAATATTTTAACAGTGATTTTAAACTGAAATGCACCAGTTCAAGTTACAATTTATTCCACTTTTCAGAAAAAAGTTGTAAGTGACAAACAGAGTCAAATTCCCTTAGAACTTTTATAACATACAGTACCTATCCACTCTATATTGTGAAACTGATTAACGTACAGATTCAGGTAGTGCATTTTCAAACTAAAACAAAGAAAAGTTGCAAATATTTCTGAAATAATATTTCATAAACAGGCCCACACACTGGTCTTAATGAACAGGACATAATGTTGAAGTAAAACACTCGGAACACTACCTTTATAAAGCAGCAGCTTTACACTGCAGAGCACAAAGAACTCCTTAAAATGTATTAATTCAGCAAATACCTCCACCCTAAAGAGGTACACAGCATCTGGCCATTAAGTAGTTTTTCCCTTTATGAAAGGGTTCTAAAAAATAAGGCTCCTTATCCTCTAAAATGATCCTACTGTTTCATAAAACTGAATTTTTCCTACAGGACCTAAACATTGGCTTTCTGAAACCTGCAATCTAAACAGCCTAGTCAACACACGAGGTTTTGGGAAAATGTGTTACCTCAAGTAGTTGCCTTATCAAAACACTATCTTAAAGTAGCTTTTAGATCTTCCACTGAACCTGAACTTTAAAATCTGGAAACAATGCAAAATAACAAACAAGCAGCTGAGCCGAGTTTCAGTTTGGGAGGAAAAAAATACTAGTAAGAAGTTTCCTCTTCTTATATCACCTAATTTCTGGAGCAATTTCACCAACATGTTGATGGTGAAATACTACATAAGCCAAGTGCCAGATTGGTATCTCAAACAGAAACCAATCTTTTCTCAGTCCATGTAACACTATACTCCAAATCAAATGGTCTCCGATTCCCAACAGAGACAGCCCTTTATACTAGGGTTGTGTGAAGCTTTGGTTGTCGAATCGATTCAGAGGAAACTCAGCCTGATTCAGTGATCGAATCATCAAATCTAAATTGAATCCGGAGACCCATTAAAAGGTCCATATTGAATTGGAAGCCTCCAAATCTATTCGGAGAGATTTGGTACTGATTCGAAGATTCAGCCACAGACTATATACAGGCAGCAGTCCTCGACAACACTGGACACAGGTGCTTCCAGCTAATTAGTATGTTGTGGTGGGCAGAGGGAAGGGGCACATCAATGCCCCCACAGCAAGTGAGGGACTGGGGCTGGGACAAGCTGCCCATCTGGTGCAGGAGGGGGCATGGGACTTGGGAAGAGCGGTACCCGCCACTGCGCTCCACCGGTCCAGGAGGGCGTAGAAGTGGGTGTGTGCCCCCAGATCTGCATGGGGTGGACTGGACTGGACTGCACTGCACTCCGGGTGGCAAGCCCCAATTGCCCACCACCAAGCTACACTCCACAGGGCAGATGGATCCAGGGCTACGCTCCAGGTGGCTAGCCCCAGTTCTGCCTACCCTGCAAAACACAGCCCTGGCTCTGCACAGAGCAGTCCTGGCTCCACCTGCCCCACAGAGCACAGTGGAGCAGGTGCTACGGGGCGGCTGCAGCCACCCTAAAATTCCCCATAGCCTCTGCCGCCAGCTCCACTCCAATCTGGATGCACGTGCCTGCCCCCATGCCCTGCTGCTGCTTGCCCAGCTGGGGCGGGGAGGAGCAGGGAAGCTGAAGCAGCTTCTGCTGCTGTGCACCGCTTGTCCAAGGCAGCACAGCAGCACCATCCCACACCTCCCTGCCCCAGCTGGGTGAGCAGTGGGAGTGCATAGCTCCTGCTCCCCAGCACTCTCCCCCATCCATCTGGAGCACAGCCTGGCCCAGCCCACCCCACGCGGATCCAGAAGCACACGCCTGCTCCCATGCCCTCCCAGACTGGCAGTTCACAGTGGCAGAAGCCCCCCTCCCTCAGTCCCACGTCTTCCCACCCCAGCTGGGCAGTTTGTCCCAGCCCCAATCCTTCCCTCACTGTGGGGGCACTGATCTGCCCCCCACATGCCCCTTTCCTTCCCCACTCTGCCCACCACAGACTTACCAGCTGGAGGCAGCTATGTTCAGCATCGTTGAGGACTGCTGCCTGTGTAGTCTATGGCCGAATCTCCAGATCCGAATCGGCTGAATTGAATTGGGACAGTGATCTGAATCACCGAATCACTGATCCTCCAAACCGACTGAACCTGAATCAAATATTTACTGCTTTGCACAGGCTTATTATATACCCAAATAGCTATGCTATATTAAAGTGGATTTTTTCAGCATCCTTGAGGAAAGATTTAATGAAGTAGTATCATATTATAAAATACTCAAATATTGCCATTAAGTCTCTGGTATGCCTGTTCTTTCTTGAATATGGATAGAGAAAAATGAAATCTATATTACTCCTTGGAGGACCTGGAATTGTCCAACTAGACATGTTTTTAATATTATAGGTAAGTTGTTCAGGTGTCAATTTTTAGAACTGAACAAAAGAGTAAGTGACACTTGAATGCAAAATCTCAAGTTTCAAAAACACTGACCTAGTCCCTGACTGCTAACTGGTATTTCCTGAACTGAATCGAAGTATGTTGCTGCTCTTTGTTTTTCACTACAGCACAGACAGCATATCAAGAACAGCAAAGCCTTTGCAAGTCTTGACTACACAGTCCTCTGTAGGTACTCCACTGAGGTAGTAATATCAGCAGAAAACTGAAGGTGTAGACAAATTCAGAACACCAAATTTAACAGAAGACATAATCCAAAAGTGCACTGAAATCTTAGACTGGTCTATCAGACATCAGTTCTGATATACTGGATACTGAATAAAGTCAGGTACCCAATCACAGCCATTCTAACATGATTTCAGAACCTAATTTTTCATCTGCTTATTCAGACAGGACTATATTTAACATAATCATGATGTCAACACCACTGGCATCCAGAGCTATTCCTCAAAAGTCAGGTGGAATGGATGGCATACATCCCTTGAAGGGAAACCTCTGCTAAAAACATTTCCATCATCACTTCCATCTAGAACCAAACCTGCATCTATTAAGCTGGAACAGTACATTCCATTTTGGAATGGAAATAAGGAGGTAATGGATCTCCTGAAATAATCAACTCTGATGGTATAAAACACACAATTCTTTTGTCCCTCCCTGCCATCTGCTTGCCTATAGTTAAAAGAATAGGGTACATAACTAAACCCCTTTCCAGGGGAAATGATACTAATTCTATGTAGTATCAGGTATCCGGTAATTTAGACACCCACTTCTAATCTGTTTCCCCTTTCCCATTTTCCTTGAGAAGTGTTAGACCGATTTCATGAAAGAAATGAAAATCCATCAACTTTTATGCAGGGGACTTCACACTTATTCTGCTAGCTCTGAAGACAAAGTATTTAATAAACCAGAATACTTTTAACTAAACTGGAATGGCTCTAGCACAAGACAGGACAACCTGAAAAACTCCCTTTTAAAAACTATATTTTGCCAATGGCTGGAAGGCCTTTTTTCCACCACAGCATTACACAGGAGGAAAAAGGATAAGGTAGGACACTACCCGACTTTTGCCCAGAAAACTGTAACCTAGTTTCAGCATCTGTCATTTGTCTGATACAGTAAAGCATCCTGGAAAGCTTCCTTTTCCAGAATGCTTAAAGGGAGTTGCAATACGAGTACTGGAGACAGTACTCTTGACCAGTTAAGAGTTAAACTTCTTCTTACAATTAGACTACTGCTTGCCACCTACATTATCTCAGTGCCACTAGATCCATGAGTGGATAATTTAATTTTGCACCTTAACCGCAAAATGTATCATTTACTAGTACTTGCACCATTCTCTGAACAATCTACAAACATCTTGGTACCTTGTAATCATAGCACCAAGTAATTTAGCATCAAATTGAAGTGTCAGTTTTCCTTAATCCTGTAAGTTTTGATCTTTGTTCAAATGGGGAAAGGTATATGATCACCTCTGAGCAAAGCTTGGGTCTTTTGAGGCCTTTTACTTAGGACAAGAAGTCTGTTAAGACTGTTGCCTATCAAAAAACTTGAATATTCTCTGGAGAGCAGTGCAGGAGATAAGGCACATCTACAATAGATATATGTATAGAAATAACTTCTGGATCTACATTTTAAGATGAAACCCATCTATAAACAGTATTTCTAATATTAGTTACCCAATTTGGATTTTTTTTTTTTAAATCAGAGAAGGGGAACTTAAGCACAGAAAGCTTAAATTCAAGATTACACAGCCCAAGTTAACTAAACCTTTCAGCTACCAGATCAAACAAAACACAATGAATCCCTAGCATTACAAATTAATAATTTTATTTCCCCCTGTCATGTAGAACTTCATTATCCTTCTCCAAAAATAATTAAAAGTAGCTGTTTTTTAGAATTGTATGTTTCCTGATGTGACGTACATAACTACTTAAGCATATATTCTGTAAGACAAAATATTCAGGATCTGCCTTCCAATTTTATTATGGAAATCAAAAAAACCTGACTGAAGAACACAATTTACATGTGGGTTGCAGGTATTTTGGTCAGAGATCACTTATTTTTTTACAGTGACACCCAAAACACTGTTCAAATGAAGCACGGTACCTGACTAACCATTCTGAAATACCATTTCAAAATCAAATTATTCCAATATGTACATTCAAAAGATTTATATTGAACCCATTTTCTTAATACCCAAAGTTAAGCTTCTTGGGTTTGGGGTGAATTTCTGTATAAGAGCATGTGTGGAGGCAATTAGCCTTTAAAAGTTTCTACCTTTTTTGGGGGGGAGTGTGTTTAAACTTGAGTCACAGAAACAATTCTGGGCTTTCTCTGCAAACCCCAAGGAACTAGATTTGTTTACCAATCTAAAGATCACTAGAGCAGCCATCTAATATGCTAAAAACAATGCTAACCAATCACAGGCCGGTTTAATCTGCTTCCTCATGGATCAGCTAGCCTTGTTAGTGCCTTAAAAGATATCCCAAGAAAGAATCTTACGCCATCCACCCAATAGAATGCAGGTGCTTATTAGAGAGCTAAACACAGAGATGAATATTTTTGTGCAATGTTACAGTAATTCTGAGACTCGCCTCAGAAAGGCCTGAATCCAACATGCGAAG